CTCCTATCTGGAATTACATCCAACTGAGTTCGAGAGGTTTCCATTTCTGCATGCGATGAGAAATCCTGATTTTTTCCCCTTAACACAAAGCATAAGGAGCCTTCCCTTCAGCTGCCGGCAACTCCCTTTCATTCATTCTTGAATAATGTCACCGAAAGGCCAAAGGTTTCCATTCACAAGTAGGAGCAGCTCAAGGGAATGATGATAATCAGGGAGGCGGCCCAGAAAAGTCAGATCCTCCCTCTTCGTATGGAAAACCTGACCTTAAATATTCACAGTCCAAGGTTGTTTTCTTGAAAACAAAAAAAAATTATATATACTGCAGGGAATTACATCTGACCGTGTCCTTTTGGCCCTTTCTTGGCATTCGCCCCCAATTAATTCGGTGGGATTGCTTTCTGAGTCAGGAAATAGGGTCATTCAGGGCAATCTCTTAAATCTCTTTCTTTTTAATTGCAGCCAAAGAGCTTAGCACGATTCAAGAAACGCTTAGCAAGCGGCTGTTATTTTCTAACAGGTAGCCGTGCAATTTTTAAGAACACCCCCCCCCCAAAAAAAACGCGCAGGGATGGAATATCAATTTTGGACTGGAAAGAAATTTCTAGATTTTTAACGGCTGGGAGTTCGGATTTTCGATTGGACTCTAAAAAGGAATTTCTAGATTTGTAGTTATTTCTCGAAAGAATTAGTTATGTCTAGTTTTTTTTAAATATTTATTTATTTATTTATTTGATTTATTTGCTGCCTTTCTCCAGAGACTCAGGGCGGCTTACAATGCGTTAAGCAATAGCCTTTATACTTTTTGTATATATTTATACAAAGTCAGCTTATTGCCCCCACAATCCGGGTCCTCATTTTACCTACCTTAGAAAGGATGGAAGGCTGAGTCAACCTTGAGCCTGGTGAGATTTGAACTTACAGTAATTGCAGGCAGCTGATGTTAATAACAGTGCTTTAGTCTGCTGCGCCACCAGGGCTCATGTCTAGTTCAGGGGTCGGCAACCTTAAACACTCAAAGAGCCACAAATGTCCTAACCGGAAGCCCCCCATTCAATCCTGCAGCCGACCGGAAGTCCGGTTCCCCCACCATAGAGTCTCCTCCTAGTATGGCGTCCTTTTTCCTCTACCTGTCCTAACCGAAAACCCTATCAACTGTGGAGCCGACCGGCAACAGGGAGCCGCAGCAGGGGGATGAAAGAGCCACATGCGGCTCCAGAGCCGCAGGTTGCTGACCCCTGGTCTAGTTTAATGAAAAGAAGGACCACTGGTGACATGATAGTAGTCAGAGGTGGTATTCAGCCGGTTCGGGCCAGTTCAGCCGAATCAGTAGTGGAAATCGCGGGTGGGCCTGCTCTATGCCATCCTATTTAGGCATGTTTTTGAGGCCAGGTGCGCATCCGAGCAAAAAGCACGTGGGGAAGGCTGGCGCACATGTGGAAGGCTGGCGCATGAGCGAACCGGGCCCGTGCGCGCATGAAGCGAGAATGCGCGTGGGGTGAACCAATAGTAACATGTGAAATCGACCGCTGATAGTAGCGTTCCAATATTTGAAGGGCTGCCCCAAAGAAGAGGGAGTCAAGCTATTCTCCAAAGCATCAGAAGGCAGGACAAGAAGCAACGGGTGGAAACTAATCAAGAAGAGAAGCAACTTAGAACTAAGGAGAAATTTCCTGACAGTGAGAACAATTAATCATCGGAACAAATTGCCTCCAGAAGTTGCAGGTGGTCCAATACTGGAGTTTTTTAAGAAGAGACTGGACAGCCATTTATCTCAAATGGTATGGGGTTCCTGCTTAAGCAGTGGGCTGGACTAGAAGACCTCCAAGATCCCTTCCGACTCTGTTATTCTGCATCTCTGACCATCTGGATCGGGACTCCCTACACACAGTCACTCATGCCCTCGTCACTTCCCGCCTGGACTACTGCAACGCTCTCTACATGGGGCTCCCCTTGAGGAGCACCCGGAGGCTCCAACTGGCGCGGAGTGCGGCCGCGCGGGTGGTTATGGGAGCAACATGGCGCTCCCGTGTGACACCTCTCCTGCGCGAGCTGCACTGGCTCCCGGTGGTCTTCCGGGTGCACTTCAAGGTTTTGGTCACCACCTTTAGAGCGCTCCATGGCTTAGGACCTGGTTATTGGTAATGAGTTTTAATTGGGCCAAATTTATATATCTTTTAATTGTTTTTTAATATTTGTCCTGCATGTTTTTTAATTTTGGCTGTACATCGCCCTGAGTCCTCAGGGAGAAGGGCGGTATAGAAATTCAATAATAAATAAATAAATAAAAATAAATATTTACGGGACCGCCTACTACCACAAACAGCCTCCCACCGGCCGGTACGCTCTCATAGAGAGGGGCTCCTCCGGGTGCCGTCAGCTAAACAATGTCGACTGGCGGCCCCCAGGGGGAGGGCCTTCTCTGTGGGGGCACCCACTATCTGGAACGAGCTCCCCCCCGGAGATATAGAGGATCCCGGATCTGCGCACTTTCCGCCGTGCTCTTAAGACTCTCCTATTCCAGCAAGCCGGCCTGGCCTAATTTTCTCCCCTGTTTTAAAATTCTTTTAAATCGAAATTTTAATCTGTTTTAAATTATTGGGATTTTTTAATTGTCTCGGGCTAAATTATTTAACCTGGTTTTAATTATGCCTTTTAACTTTTGTATCTATGTATTTTATTTTGTGCCCGTTCACCGCCCTGAGTCCTTCAGGAGTAGGGCGGTATATAAATCTAATAAAACATAAACATAAAACATAAACATCTCCTACATGTCAATTGCCAAAGATATAAGTCCTTTTTCTGTTTTTTTCTGTTAAAGGCACCTTTTAAGCCATTTCTTTTCAGAATACTCTGAAATGTTTCCTAATTTCTTTTTCTTTTTTTTAAAGAATTTCCCCCCCCCCCCCCAAGGTTTCTCCAAGAAAGAACTGCTGCGATAACTCGGCTGGGGTTTCAAAGGAAAGCTTTGTAAAAACAGCTCGAGACGTTTGGTAAACTTGCTTCAGCAACTTCCTAACCGGGGAGGCCTCTGCAGATTATTTCAGTAAATCTTGCAAAGCGAAACATTATTTATTCGGGAAGCTATCGGCGTGCACGAGTTTTTGCTGGGGGAATTGGGGTGGGGGAGGAAAAAAAAGACCAATTACTTTCCTGATGACAAGCCAGACTCGATAAAATATGCTTTTTTTTTTGGGTAGGAGGTAACCCGTGGTTACGATTCAACGTTGTATTGAAAAGCTCTTGGCATTTCCTTAACACGACTCGAGGACGTCAGGCAAATAGAATGGGTGCACCGTTGACAGTCATTCCAGAAGTTGTGTCTGGCTTCGGATAGTTTATCTAACTCTGGGACCAAGTGCATTTAAATCTTTCCTTCCTTACTGGTGCAGTCCCTGATATTGCGATGGCCATTCCTGGTTTCAATCAGGATGACGGAAGGGGGGGAAAAAAAGCTGCTTTGAAATTAAAATCCCGTTTAGAGGGAAGACAGGAAAGTTCACAGGCAATAAAGCATTTGTACATTCCTGCAAACTGGGCAGTTCATGCACTTGAGAGAGAACAGCTACTTTGGCTACTTCGAATGTAGAATAGAATAGAATAGAATAGAATAGAATAGAATAGAATAGAATAGAATAATGAAGAGTAGAGTAGAATAGAATAGAGTAGAATAATGAAGAGTAGAGAAGAGAAGAGTAGAATAGAATAGAATAGAATAGAATAGAATAGTGAAGAGCAGAGTAGAATAGAATAATGAAGAGTAGAGTAGAATAGAGTAGAACAGAATAAAGAAGAGTTGTAGAGTAGAATAGAATAGACTAATGAAGAGTAGAGTAGAATAGAATATTGAAGAGTAGAATAGAATAATGAAGAGTAGAATAGAGTAGAAAAGAATAGAATAATGAAGAGTAGAGGAATAGAATAGAATAGAATAGAATAGAATAGAATAGAATAGAATAGAATAGAATAGAATAGAATAACAGAGTTGGAAGGGACCTTGGAGGTTTTATAGTCCAACCCCCTGCTCAGGCAGGAAACCCTATGCCACTTCAGAAAAATGGTTATCCAATATTTTCTTTAAAATTTCCAGTGTTGGAGCATTTACAACTTCTGGAGGCAAGTGGTTCCACTGATTAATTGTTCTCAATGTCAGGAAATTTCTCCCAGGTTGCTTCTCTCCTTGATGAGTTTCCACCTGTTGCTTCTTGTCCTGCCTTCTGGTGCTTTGGAGAATAGCTTGACTCCCTCGTCTTTGGGGCAGCCCCTGAGATATTGGAAGACTGCTATCATGTCTCCCCTGGTCCTTCTCTTTACTAGACTAACCATGCCCCGTTCCTGCAACCATTCTTCATGTGTCGACACCGGTTTGGTCATCTAAACACATTTTCCCTAAAGTTTCATTGTGTTACTGTTGTTGCTGTTGTTATTCAAAGGATTCGTTGTTTTTCCCGGACTCTGCTGTGCTCACGGAGGTTTCGCTATTAACTCATCCAAACGTGAGGAAAGTTAGCTTTAAGGTTGAGTGTCCAACCTTAGTAACTTTTAAGACCTGTGGATTTCAACTCCCAGAAATCCCCAGGCAGCAAGGGAATTCTGGGAGTTGAAGTCTGCAAGTCTTAAAGTTGTGGTTGGACCTCAACTCCCAGAATTCCCCCAATTCCTCCCAATTTGGGAGTTCCCAAGGTTGGACACCCCTGTGCATGGATCGCCAAAAATCAAAAGCCCCTGCGAATAAAAGAATTTTTATTTTTAACCAGCTCCTTATTTGCTGCCAGAAACTTTTGGCTTTTGAGCACTCCCACCACATGTGGTAATATGGCCCTAGTTCCACCTCACATTTCCAACCAATATTTTTATTTTTTATTTTTTAGCCCCCAGAAATATATTGGTGTTTCAACCTTAATTTGCTACACACACACACATACATACACACAAAAATAGACACCTGACCCTATCCAGCCCGTAGAAGGGGTGGGGAAAAAGCTACACGTTTCAGCACTTACGTTTTTCAGCTTTCTGCTACCGTCAAGATTCCTGCAAAAGAAAGGAGGGAAAACATTTCAGAAAGCAGAAATTTCCTTCCACCGTTTGTATAATGCGAGACGTCACATGTTTCCCCTAGCAGGAGTCGGCAGGATGTGTGTCTGCTGGTTAGAAAACGCACAATGCAAGCAAAAGCTGTTTATTGCTTTGATAGTGTGGAAGCAGGTTGCCAAGAGCTGCTCGGATCCACGCAGCTAATATTGGAGATACCAACGAATTAAAATTTACCTCCACCAAAATAAACGGAGGCAAGGCAAGTAAAAGAGAGAATAAACATAAACAGAGAGGACCTTGGGTTCAAGCTCACAGCACACCAAGGATCCCCCCCCCTCCACCTCCTTTCAACCCTGAGCTACAAATGTTCTCCTTTACCAGAGAATAAATTCTTCTAAACTGGAATAGCTTGCTAGTGTTGGAGGCTCATTTATGGTCCAGTTGTTTTAGGGAGACACGAAGGACAGTAAACGTGAATATTTTTGAGAGGTCTCTTAAGCCACAGCGGCAAAGACTCGGCAGCTCGGTCTACACGTTCGCGGACTTCTTTTCCTTCGGTGTCCACGGGGAAAGCTCCGTCATAAAGCAGAACCAGAAAAACTTGACTCAAAGTCAAGAGGGGTTGGGAGACAAAGTCCTCTCAAGCACATCTGCTACATGTCTACCTCTTAGATCCGTGATGGCGAACCGGTGGCGCACGTGACTCCTGCTGGCCAGCTGGTCTTCGGGTCTCTGCCACGCATGTGCGTGCGGGGGGGGACGCATGCACGAGGAGGCAGGGCACGTGGTGGGAACCGCACACATGCATGGCGGGCAGGGTGCATGCAGGGGGCCTTGCATGCATGATTGGGGGTGGGGCATGTGCGGGCAGGGGCTGCGTGCGCATCTGGGGGGGCATGTGTGGATTGCATTTGGGGGCATTGCATTGCATGCATTGCATTTCCCGCGCGCCTTGGCCAAACGGTCCGGAAAAGGTTAGCCATTATTGGCCTAGATCCGTGATGGCGAACCTATGGCACGGATGCCACCGGTGGCACGTGGAGCCATATCGGTGGGCACGCGAGCTCAGCTCCGGCATTCATGCGTGCGCCGGCCAGTTGATTTTCAGGCCTTCTGGGCCCACCAGAAGTCAGGAAACACGCTGTTTCCAGCCTCCGGAGAGCCTCTAGGAAGGGTGGGGAAGGCTGTTTTAGCCCTCCCCAGGCTCCTAGAAAGGCTCTGGAGCCTCGGGAGAGTGAAAAATGGGCCTACTGAGCCCATCGTGCCATCATGTGCCAAAATCAGGGGGAGCATGAGGGAGGGGTGGGGCGCATAGAATTATGGATGTGGGCACACTGGCCTAGATGCACCGACCAGAAGCTTGGGGCTTTGCGTAACTCAGCACACAACTGACTCTGGAATTTTGTGTGTGTTTGTGTCTTTTTTGAGCCAAAAGTCAGGAATGTCAGCACCGAACAGGAGGCTACTGTCCTTTGACAGCTCATCATCCAGGAAGCAGCTGGGAGAAGGTTTTGTGGGAAATCACAGCTAGCTAAGGAAGAATCTGGGTTTAGGAAGGATTGCCAGGATACCCTTATCTAGCAGCCCATTTACTTTGATTTTTTTTAGCTTACACTTGACTCATCCGCAGCCCTGCGAGCTAACGTCAGATAAATAAAAGAGCGTGAACTTCTGGATAGCGTTTCTATTAAGTGAAATCCAGAGGTTGCCACGATGGGCGGGGTCACGCTTCTGAATGCCGTGTGAGCAGGACAGCTGCTGGGGAGATGCGACAACAAAGAAAGTATAAAGGCCCTCGGCCCCTTTGATTTTATTTTATTTTATTTTTTCTTCTCGTTTTTGCATCACAACTTGGAACGCGGAGACAGAAGAGCTCTCCAGTCAACAGCCCCTTCCTCCATGTTCTTCTGCGTCAGACGAAACAGGGAAGGAAGGTTAAATCCTACGAGCTCCTACGTGCTCAGAAGTGGAACGAAATAAAACTCCTTCATCAGGGATAGCGAGATGACCACTGCTTAGCGCTGTTTGTGGGCTATCGTGTGGCCCAACGGCCAAGTGTCCAGTCAATAGGACCGAGCTGAGGGAAGATATACAATGGAATCCGAAAAGAGCTTATGGAAGCCATCCAGAAGAGCAGCAGATCCCAACCATCAATAGATCTTTAGCCCGAAAATCAGCTGGCGCGCTGGAACTAACCTAGGGCAACTCTCGTGTGCCCAGATATGGCTCTGCATGCCACGTGTCGCATGCGTGCCATACCCTCACCATCACGGTCCTGTTCTGTTCTGTTCTGTTCTGTTCTGTTGTGTTCCGATCCGTTCCGTTCCGTTCCGTTCCGTTCCGTTCCGTTCCGTTCCGTTCCGTTCCATTCCATTCCATTCTATTCTATTCTATTCCATTCCACTCCACTCCACTATTCCATCCCATCCCATCCCATTTAATTCCATTCCATTCCATTCCATTCCATTCTTTCCTAATTCTACTCTACTCTACTCTACTCTACTCTACTCTACTCTACTCTACTCTACTCTACTCTACTCTACTCCACTCCACTCCACTCCACTCCACTCCACTCCACTCCACTCCACTCCACTCCATACACTACTGTATTCTATATTTTATTTTATTCTATTTTATATTCTATTCTAGAATACCTCCAAGGTCCCTTTGAATTATTCTATTCTATTCTATTCTATTCTATTCTATTCTATTCTATTTCTATTCTATTCTATTCTATTCTATTCTATTCTACTCTACTCTACTCTACTCTACTCTACTCTACTCTACTCTACCCACTCCACTCCACTCCACTCCACTCCACTCCACTCCACTCCACTCCACTCCACTCCACTCCACCCCACACCACCCCACCCCACCCCACCCCACCCACCCACTCCACTCCATACACTACTGTATTCTATATTTTATTTTATTCTATTCTATATTCTATTCTAGAATACCTCCAAGGTCCCTTCGAATTATTCTATTCTATCTATCTATTCTATTCTATTCTATTCTATTCTATTCTATTCTATTCTATTCTATTCTATTCTATTCTATCCTATCCTATCCTATCCTATCCTATCCTATCCTATCCTATCCTATCCTATCCTATCCTATTTCTATTCTTATTCTACTCCACTCCACCCCACCCACCCACCCCACCCCACCCCACCCTACCCTACCCTATTTTCACTTACTTAATTGTTGTTCGGCTTGTAGACTCCTGCAGGTCTCCTGGGTCAAACAGCTGAGATTCCTTCAGGCCCACTTCCCTACAGCCTCTCAAGAACAAGGCAATGTTGTCCTGAAAGAAAAACAAATAAAACACTTGCTTAAGTTCCCCCAAAGGTCCTTTCCCCCCCCCCCCCCCCACAGGCCACTGGACTTGTTTTTTTTCCTTGAAGACGTTTCGCTTCTCATTCAAGAAGCTTCTTCAGTTCTGACTGAATGACTGGCGGAGAATGGGAGGATTTGCATTCCTGGCAGCCGTCTGGACGTTAGCGCTCTTTCTGAGAGTCGTTGAGGCCACTTGGGAGGTTGATCTGTGCCCTCGGGGCCGGCTGAATAATGCAAATGGGGGTGGAAATTTCTTGGAACTGCCGAAAGGATGGTATTGTAAACAGGAGATAGGAGGTGTCATATCCCACCCCCCTCTGCTTCTTTGACCCCTCTTTCAACAGTTCCATGACTGTTTTGTTTTTTTTTAAATTTGATTTATATGCCGCCCTTCTCCGGAGACTCAGGGCGGCTTACAATGCGCTAAGCAATAGCCTTCATCCTTTTGTATATTTATACAAAGTCAGCTTATTGCCCCCACAAACTGGGTCCTCATTTAACCTACCTTAGAAAGGATGGAAGGCTGAGTCAACCTTGAGCCTGGTAAGATTCGAACCTGCAGAAATTGCAGGCAGCTGTGTTAATAACAGGGTGCTTTAGACCACTGTACTACCAAGGTTCCTATTTTAAAATTCATAATTTTAAATCCCACGGACCATTAATATGATCTGTCTAATGACCGGCTGGGTGGATGTGGCTAGATGGTCATGTGACTGAGTGGGTGTGGCCAACTCGATGTCACTCGTGTCAAGGGGCACCTCGCCAGCCTCTACTCGCCCCTCCCCTCCCAGCCACTCCTCGCCTGCCCGCCTGGGTTCCTTAGGGTCCCAACATGAAGCAGTTGTTGGAGCTAAGCAGCCGCCGCGAGAAAGAGTTGGCAAAACAGCTCAGTACAAATTGGATCTGGCCAAGAAGGAGGCTCAGCTGAAGCACCTCACTGAGGACTAGGAGCATAGCCTTTCCAAGCAGAGTGCAGGAGTGCAAGGCCAGGTAACGGCGCCTGGAGGCTCAGCGGGCTGAGATGGTCAGCAGTCCTACTGGAACAAGGTCCTCCGACTCTTCGCCATTAGCAGCACTTCCCTCCAGCCTTCGCCCAAAGTCCCGCACCAGGAGGCCGAAGCAGACCCCGAGTCAGAATTTCTGCCCCCCTCCGACCCACACAAAAAGACCCCGAAGGGGGAGACTCTCTGCAGCAACACAAACATTCATTGCACGTATCCGGCCCAGGGTCCGTAGTTTGAGGACCCCTGATTTAGCGCAACATAGAAAATGCAAATAATTTTTCTGCGGACCACCCAAATTTTCTCACGGACCACCGGCGGTCCTCCTCTTCATTACACTAGACACATTAAGCTAGAAATTAGGAAAGATTTCACCAACCAAACAAGAGACTACAGACATACCACACAAGAATCCTCTCAGTTGCGACTTCCAAGTATTTATTTACATTTTGAAAGGGCCAGTTAGCAAAACTGCGAGTCGTTCTTCTATAAACCCGTATTTTTCGGAGTATAAGACGCTCCGGACTATAAGACGCACCTGCCTTTTTTGGTGACGAAAACAAGAAAAAGAAAGCTGCCTCTGCCTCCCAGCAATTTTGCCTCGTTGCAGCAAACAGCAAATAGCCTGCTTTACTTTCAGTTTCGTTTTCAGCACAGCTTGATTAGCACAAGAAAAAAAAAATCCGCTCCCAGCAATTTACCTCCTTGCAGCAAGCAGCAGAGGCCTGCGCAAAACAGCTGAGAGCAAAACAGCTGAGAGTCGGGAGGCCGATCCAATCAACTTGTGCTAATTAGGCTGTGCTGAAGCTGAAACGGGCTGTTTCTTCTTGCTGCTTGCTGCAAGGAGGTAAACTGCTGGGAAGCAGAGTCCAAAGGGCGGGGCTCTGCCCACCCGCCACGACGTCATCATGGGTGATCTGCACATGCGCAGAAGCTTGCAGCGGTCCCGTTGCAAACCGGTAGTAAAGGTAAGTAGAACCCACCCCTGGGTAGAGACAGATATTTCTCTCTCTGGACACAATGAGAATATATCTGCTAAACAAAACTCCTCATTGGTGGCAGGAAAGGCATCCGGCCAGTAAACACTCATCTCAATTCAGTTGCCCAAATTCCACCCCGCAAGGGATTATGGGTTCGTTAAAAGAGGATGATAATATATAGCTTAATACAGAAAATTCTTAAATGCTTATGAAGAGAAAACCAGAGACTTTTTTGGGGGGGGGTTTAATGGAAAAACACCTAGGGGAAAAAAAATTGGGAACTTTGATGTTATATCTGCTGATGGCAGCAAGAATACTTTGAGCACAGAAATGTCTGGTTTCTTTTCTTTTCTTTTTTTTTCCCCTGAGACCACCACTGAACGAGGCAAATCTCAAAGACAAAGGAATCTCTCCATAGCTACTTCCAGATCACGGACATTATCTTCCCCCTGTTTTTTTTTTTGTGCTGCAAAAGTTGAAAAATTACAGGAAGAAACCGACTTTTCAACATGAAAGAAATGCACGAAATGTTTAAGAGCTCAGTGGCTCGCCAGCTGGCAAGTCGTAGCAAACCTCTCGTAAACAAGGGGGCTGCTTATTCTTGTAAGGCCATCCATCATTTTCTCTTTTCTTTTCTTTTCTTTTTTTCCCCCCCTGTTCCAGTTTTCTGCTCTTCTCCTCTGGTGTCAAATGAAGCGATGCTATCTTTCATGTCAAGCCCATCCAGAGGAACCACCAGCGGCCTCCAAGGTCCTTCCCAACGGCGAGCGTAAACACCGAGATGAAGAGACGGTCAAGGCCCAATGAACACCGAGCAAGAAACGGGCCCTCTCGATGTTCCACGGGCCCTCCTGCAAGCTGAAAAACCCAGCAAGGTTGCCGATGGAGAACAAGGGGCCAGCGGTAGCCATGACGCCTGCCCCTTCGCGTTGCTATTCCCCAAAGCGAGCAAGCAAACAGACGGACAGCCTTTCGTGCCTGCTGAAGTTCACGGCCTCCTCAAAGGAAGAGCAACAAATTCTTTTCCTCTCTTAAAATCAAACATCCACTTCTCGCTTGCCAAAGGACACATTTCAATAAACTCTAAAAGCCGAACTGGCTTTCTTGGCCCAAACACGTTGCGTTGGTGGGGGAAATACTACGGCGAAATGGTTTGGATTCGCGGCCTCGAGGTTTTCCTGCTGTTTAGGGAAAACAGAGATGATTAGCAAAATCCTTCGGTCAACTTCGGGGTCTCGGAGACACACACACACACCAGACAATCAGGGTGGTGGAGTAGCGAAGGCAATGGACTAGGAGTCCTCGATCCAACTGAGTGATTTTGGACCAGTCCTTCTCTTTAAACCCTAGATTGGAAAGGCAAAAGGGGTGTCAAACTCAAGGCCTGTGGGTCAGATCCAGCCTGCGGGGTGCTTAAATCTGGCTCGCGGGCACGGCCTGGAAATATCAAAGGACCGGCCCACGGAGCCTCTGCCGGCCGAAGTATCAAAGGACTGGCCCGTTTTTGGCTTCTATGGCCTCCAGTCCAGCAGCAGTCTGCCGATTAAAAATGGGCCATGCGGAGGCCCCGCGAGGCCCCTCTACAGCCCATTTTCGGCCTCCCTGGCCTCCAGAAGCAGTCTGCTACCCAAAAATGGGACATGCGGAGGCCCCGTGCACCCTGTTTTGGCCAGCAAAGTGCTGCAGGAGGCCATTCAGGCCGAATACGGGCCACTATCAATCTATCTATCTATCATCTATTTATCGATCTATCCATTCAACTTTCATCTCTCTCTCCCTCCCTCCTTTCTACCCTCCCTCCTTACATCTCTATCTATCTATCTATCTAGATCTATCCATCATCTCTCTCTCCCCCTCCTTTCCACCCTCCCTCCCTCCTTACATCTATATCTATCTATCTATCTATCTATCTATCTATCTATCTATCTATCCATCCATCATATCTCTCTCTCCCTCCTTTCCTCCCTCCCTCCCTTCATATCTATCTATCTATCTATCTATATCGATCTATCCATTCATCTATCATCTCTCTCTCCCTCCCTCCTTTCCACCCTCCCTCCCTTCTTACATATCTATCTATCTATCTATCTATCTATCTATCTATCTATCTGTCTGTCTATCTATCTATCATCTATCTGTCATCTATCTATGTATGTATCTATTCATCCATCATCTCTCTCTCCCATCTTTCCTCCCTCCCTCCCTTCATATCTATCTATCTATCTATCTATCTATCTATCTATCTATCTAGATCTATCCATTCATCTATCATCTCTCTCTCCCTCCCTCCTTTCCACCCTCCCTCCCTTCTTACATCTCTGTCTGTCTATCTATCTATCTATCATCTATCTATCTATGTATCTATTCATCCATCATCTCTCTCTCCCTCCTTTCCTCCCTCCCTCCATATCTATCCATCCATCCATCCATCCATTCTTCCTCCCCCCTCCCTCCATATCTCTCTATCTCTCTATCTCTCTATCTCTCTATCTCTCTATCTATCTATCTATCTATCATCTACCTATATAAATAATAATAATAACAACATAGACTAATTCATATATAAATGACTTAAAAGGGGTGGGACTTCCTGCAGTCTCAATACTATATTTTCCCACAATGACACAGCACCCCTAATCTCCTCCCATGGCATTCTTTCCAAAATATGTCCCGATTTTCTGCTAAGCCGTTAATCTAACGGCTATTTTAAATCCTATACTGTAAGGAATAAATCTTTCTATGTCCCTTTAAAAACAACAAGCATAACTCCAGCGTAAGATATAAAAAAGATACAGAGGAATTGGTGATTTATTTCCCTGATCCAGATCTTTTCAAGTGTTTTTATACAACAGGCTTTGTTTACACAAGCCTTACTCCGTGGCTGAGGCCTTGCAAGTTTTGGCTATTGCCTCCGATTTTTGTTCTTTTTTTTTTTTTTTTAATCTTTTCAAGGAAAAACATTCCGGGTCCATACGGATTTTATCTTA